ATCCACTCACCTCAGCCTCTCAAAAGCATGGGATTACAGGCTGAGCCACCAAGCCAGGCTCAAGCTCATTTTTAAAAAATTATTTTTTGTACAGTTGGAGTCTCACTGTGTTGCTCAGACTACTCTTAAACTCCTGGCTTCAAAGGATCCTTCCACCTCGCCCGCCCAAAGTCCTGGGATTACAAACATGAGCCACCATGCCTGGCTGCTCCTTGTTCATTTGACTTGTTCATTTCTTGTTCACTTCTCTCCTGATTGGAGTTTATTGCTCTGTGGTGTTATGACAGAAGCTTTCCATTACCCCAGAGAGATGAAGAAAATAGAAGTGTTTCCCAAGGGGCGGTAGTCTTTACAATATTCAGTTTAGATTTTTAAAATACTTTTAAGAGACAAGAGTTACATCAAATTGCTAAATGTGTTCTTAGAGTGTCTGTAGTTAGCACTTCTTTCAGGCTCCAGTTTTCAAGTTTTTCATTTTACATGACAATCCTCTATGAATTTAGGATCTTTATTTTCACTTTCCGCTGTCATCATATCTTTATTTCCTTCAAAGTTTAAGGGAATTACTTCTCTCTCTACCTTTTTAAAGACTGTTTTTGCAATCTTTACCTGAGGTTTTAAAGTGAGAGTTTTCACTGATGAGTCTTGATAGAGCACAGTGTTAGGCTCTGTGAGATCTCTACAAAATGCATTCCCTTCTTACACAAAGTCACAGATGGGGGTGGGCTTTGCATGCCAAAAATGAATATGGTGGAAGCTGATACTGGCTTTTGCAAGGACAGTCTTTTATAAAGAAGGAGGATTTGAACAGGGCTTTCTTTGAAAAGACCTGAAATTTCAATATGTGAAATAATACAAATGGGTATCATTAGTAGAAGTTGACATGGTCAGAGTGATAGAAGCAGAAAACTGTAAGGTGTCTCACAGCAGAAAGTGAATACATGCGTTTAAATGGGGCAGATGGCTCACTGGCTCATGCAAGAAAGTAGCAGGAGAGAAGCTTCATTAGGCATATTAGAGTTTGCCAAGGAATCTGGATTTTATTATGAATGCAAAAGGAAAGGATACGTTGAAATGGCTTTTTTGTTGGTTTGTTTGGTTTTGAGTCAGGGTCTCATTTTGTTGCCAGGCTGGAGTATAGCGGCACAATCATGACTCAATGCAGCCTCGACCACCTGGGCTCAGGTGATGCTTCTGCCTCAGCCTCCCAAGTAACTGGGACTACAGGCACGTGCCACCACGCCCGGCTAATTTAAATACATATATATATATATATATATATAAAATAGAGATGAGGTCAGTCTACCTAACCATTCTGTTGATGTCATTAATCTCTTTGTATCCCCATCACCTGGTGCCTAAGTAATAAGGGTGCGATTATGTTTATGTGTGACTGAATCATCTGTGTCTTTTTTTTTTTTTGAGTTGGAGTCTCACTCTGTTGCCCAGACTGGAGGGCAGTGGCCGCTCCCGGCCACCGCAGCCTCGACCTGCTGGGCTCTGGCGACCCTTCCACCTCAGCCTTCCGAGTAGCTGGAACTACAGGTGCACGCTACCACACCCGGCTAATTTTTTATTTATTGTAGAGATGAGTTCTTGCCAAGTTGCCCCAGCAGGTCTCGACCCGCAGGCTCAGGCAATCCACTCACCTCGGCCTCCCAAAGTGCTGGGATTACAGGCTGAGCCACCGAACCCGGCCCTGTGTGTCTTTTTATCCCTTCCTCCTATATGCTCCCCTCTCCTGCTCCCAGAGGTTAGGTCAGTTTCCAATTCACTCCCTTCAGAGTCCAGTCCATCCTTCCCAGTTTCCAGTTCACTCCCTTTAGAGTCCAGTCCATCAACAGAATGGTTAGGTAGACAGAGTAGGTATACTCAACTAACAGCTCAAAGTAGGCCAGGCGTGGTGGCTTATGCCTATAAACCCAGCACTTTGGGAGGTGGAGGTGGGAGGATCAGTTGAGCCCAGGAGTTCGAGACCAGCCTGGGCAACATAGCAAGAACTCATCTCTATAAAAAATTACCTGGGAATGATGGCACACACCTGTAGTCCTAGCTACTCAGAAGGCTGAGGCAAGAGGATCACTTGAGCTCACGAATTCAAGGCTGCGGTGAGCCATGATCGTGCCACTGGGTGACAGAGTGAGACTCCCAACTCGGAAAAAAAATTAAAATACAGAAAGAAAGAAAAACCCAAAGTAACCTCATCTAAACATTGAGGATCGAGGGAGGCAGTGAGTTCTCAGGAGTTCAGAAAGAACCGTTTCTTTACGTTTGGAGTCATAGAAGCATCAGGAAAGAGATGGGGCATGAGCTGAACGTTGAGTGATGGATAGAATTTGGGAAGAAAGAAGGAGGGGTTAAAGGACTGTGGGGGGAAAGGGGGCCTGAGGTGAAACCACAGGACTAGGAAAACACAAGGAATGCTTGTAGCACATCGAGGAGGCCCATCTGGTTGGAAGAAAGAGTTTGCATAATAACAGCTAGAGGAGAAGAGAAGAAAGGAGAGTCCTTGATTAGTCTGGTAAAGGTTTAGAGGTCAAGTTAAAGAATATGTAGTTTGACCTGGAAAATGTCAAACCAGTGGCATTTTTGAGCAAGGTTGTGGCCAGTGTCAAAGGGTCTTTGGAAGTTTAATCTGTGAAGGAAGCACAGTAAGTATGAATGAATGGATGGAGACAGGACTATCAAGATGAATAGACAGGTGACTTCCAGGAGAACAAAGGCTGACACCCATCATCATGAGAGGTGTAGAAAAGAGACAGAGGAATTCCCAGTAAGCCAGGCTGGAGGGAAAAATACAATTTTACCCAAGCTCCAAGCCGGAGAGGCTGTAATAACAGCGGTGCTCTATGCTAAAGCATACAAGTAAAGAGAGGATTGGTTTGGAGGCAGCCCCGAGAGTTTTGCTTAAAGAACTGGGACCCCAGTTGGGTGTCAAGTAAAGGTACCCAAATGGTGGTTAGAAGTAGGGGCTTGAGGCTCTGCTGGAAAGCAGATTTATCAACTTCAGCACTCGTGTGAAGTTTGCGATTAATTAATTAATTCACAAAGTGAAGTATTTTCAAAAGTCCGTGTGAGAGCTTATATTCTCTTGGTGCTGATGCATTCTCAATGGCGCTTTTGTTTTCATCACAAAACAGATCAGCTTGTATGAGACAAAGTAGGTTCTGGGTGTAGACATGGGCATTGGGCCCAATTCTCCTCTTTGGTGGTAATAGTTCACATTTGATACATCTTTCTATCCCTTGCAGCACCTAGCAGGAGTTGATGTTGGTTTGCACATTATGAATACTCGGTGTTGGTTCATTTGCATTTTCATCATAGTTCAAAGATAAAAGAGTGGACCAAAGAAAAACTAATAAGCTTATAGCCAATTTTATAATGACAAACTCTACATAAACAAATGCAAATGGATGCCAAATTTGAATTGCAAAAATTTTGTAAGCAAGGTCCAAGGAATAATAAGTGAGTCTTCCTCAAACCTGTAATCCCTGCACTTTGGGAGGCCAAGGTGAGAGAATTGCCTGAGTTCAGGGCTTTGAGACCAGCCTGGGCAACTGGTGAGATCTCGTCTCTACAATAAATCAAAAAATTAGCCGGGTGTGGTGGCATGCGCCTGTAGTTCCAGCTACTTGGAAGGCTGAGGTGAAAGGATCTCCTGAGTCCAGCAGGTCGAGGCTGTGGTGGCTGTGAGCCACTGCACTCCAGCCTGGGTGACAGAATGAGACTTCAACTCAAAAAAAAAAAAAAAATTAACTGAGTCTTTCGATCCTTAGTGAAAGAAATCAATTTGGATCCTAAGTGAAAGAAATCCATTAACGATCCCCTATCCTTTGGAGTCTCAGAGATGTTCAAAAGTCACAGCAGCCAGGCGCGGTGGCTCACGCCTATAATCCCAGCACATTGGGAGGCCGAGGTGAGAGGATCGCCTGAACTCACAGGTTCAAGACCAGCCTGGGCCACTGGGTGAGATCTCCTCTCTACAATAAATCAAAAAATTAGCCGGTCATGGTGGCGTGTGCCTGTAGTTCCAGCTACTTGGAAGGCTGAGGCGGAAGGATCACCTGAGCCCAGCAGGTCAAGGCTGCAGTGGCCAGGTGAGTGCCACTGCCCTCCAGCCTGGGTGACAGAGTGAGACTCCAACTCAAAAAAACCCAAAAGCAAACAAACAAAACAAACAACATCAACGACAACAAAAAGTCACAGCGATGCAGATTTTTCAGGTCAGCCTGGCCTAAAAGAGTGTCCGTTCAATGGGTTGGCCAGTCAAGCCCCAGAGCGGGTCTGGGTCATAAGGGGATGGTAAACCTAGCCCCGGAAGTGTCAGCTCTGATGCCCTGGCAAACCAAGCCGTGAGTGGTGCGATTGGGGGAGGGGGGAGTTGGCAAGCCTGGCCCCCGGGGCTTTGGCTCTAACGGACTGGCAAGCCAAGCCCTGAGAGTGTTGCTGGTTCGGTGGGCTGGCAAGTCTTGTCCCCTGGGTGTGTCAGCTTCGGAGTCTTGCTTTCTTCAGAGTCTTGCCTTCTTTGTTCCACTGCACTCCAGCCTGGGCCACAATGTGAGACTCTGACAAGAAAAGGAAAGGAAAGGAGAAAGGAGAAAGAAAAGAAAGAAAGAAAAGGAATGGAATGACGTGTGAACCCCAGGCCCAGAAAGGCCAAGGCAAACTTGACCTAGATTGTTTTTTCTTCTGACATAGGAACTAGTCAGAAACAGTTATTTGGGGGTGAGGTGGGGTGGGGAGGGGAAGTCTGTGAGACATAAGGTAAGAGGACCCAGACAGCTCCAAAATAAAACAAACCAACTACACTAAAGGGAATGAGGGCTATACACATAGTACTCAGTATTCCACCTGAATTGACATTTATGCAAGAAAGCAACGTGAGTACCCATCCAGTTGATGTAATCAAAAGGAGAGTAACATGCCTTTTTTTTCTCCTTCCAAACTGCTTTAAAAAATACGCCCGTTGTCTTATCTACTCCTTTTTCGGGTTGTTTCAGCTGCTCGACTGATCCAGAACATGGATGCCACCGCTGAGCCCTGCACAGACTTTTACAAATATGCCTGTGGAGGCTGGTTGAAACGCAACGTCATTCCCGAGACCAGTTCCCGTTACAGTAACTTTGACATTTTAAGAGATGAGCTGGAAGTCGTTTTGAAAGGTTAGTGGCGATCGTGTCTGTGCATCAAAGTTTTCTCTCTTAATATATTCACTTTTTAAGATATAACTGTTAGCCATCACAGGCCACATTGCAAAAGAGGAAAGTTGATAATCCCTCCAGGATTTGTGGACCACCGCTGAGTCACTCTGAAAGTAGTAATAAACACTGAAATAGATCTGTTGGCATCATTAGCATTCCTGCTTCCACTCGTAGATGTGTAAGGAATAAAGCTGTGTCATCCCTAGAGATGGCAGTTTTATGCCATTTTGCAGAAGAAAAAAACTAAATGATTGCCACTAAAAACGACCTCTGTAGCATCCCTACTACAGCCCTAGGTTAAACTTGCTGTGAGACATTACTAAGATTTGCCTTCCCAGAGTAGGTATATGATCCTAAATTGGCCAAGACGCTCTCCCTGGGAAGTTAAAGTCTAAAGGAATCCTTACTATCCTCCATCCTCTGTTCTCTCCTTTCCTAGAAGTTACTTTGTAGAAGAAGAATTTTTGCTATTTTTTAACATCCACACAAGAAGAACAATTCATTTAATTCATTTGAAGCATGAACAGTACAATCACACAAGGATAACTATTTTCTAGCCACCAAGAGGACATTCATATTACATTCCAAATTCCTCTGCACCATTACTTGTTTTCTTTGTAATCTCTATTTCAAGAAGTGACTATAATCTATGGCAGAGTACAGTACACATCAGCATTCATAAGAAAAGATAATCTAGTCAGAAAGACTTTCATTTAAGTTGGCTAATGAAATTCCCAGTTCTAGGCCAGGCTCAGTGGCTCAGCCTGTAATCCCAGCTCTTTGGGAGGCCGAGATGAGTGGATTGTCTGAGCCTGTGGGTTCAAGACCAGCCCGGGCAACTTGGCAAGACCTCATCTCTACAATAAGTAAAAAATTAGGTGGGCGCAGTAGCGTAGTTCCTGCTACCTGCCTGTAGTTCCTGCTACTTGGAAAGCTGAGGCGGAAGAATCGCTGGAGCCCAGCAGGTCGGCACTGGGGTGACAGAGTAAGACTCCAACTCAAAAAAAAAAAAGAAAAAAGAAACTCCCAGTTCTGTGCTAGGAATGTTGGTCTGGGTAGGGGTTTGGTTCTGGAATGGGGAGGAATTGAACATATCTCCAGAAAAGGGAGGTTCTGGAATGGGGAGGAATTGAACATATCTCCAGAAAAGGGAGTTGGGTGTTTTTTGTTGTTGTTGTTGTTTTTTAAGGGAACTCGCATTGCAAGTATTAATTGCAGCTGCAAATGAGCGGTTACGTTGATGCATTTTGTGAAATGCCCTATTTCAGATGTCCTTCAGACACCCAAGACTGAAGATATAGCAGCAGTGCAGAAAGCAAAAACATTGTACAGGTCCTGTGTAAATGAAAGTAAGTGCTCTTCATTTAATTTCATTAGGCGTGTGCACGCATTGGTGCCAAAATATGCCTAGACTTCATATTGAATTTGTTTTTTCATTGTTTTCAAAAGCTGCTATTGATAGTAGGGGTGGAGAGCCTCTCCTCAAACTGTTGCCAGATATCTATGGGTGGCCAGTAGCGACAGACAACTGGGAGCAAAAATATGGTAAGACAGTTTTCCTTCTTTTAAAAAAAAATCATTTCCACATGGAATCTATGTTATTATATTATAGTGTCATTAATGAACTAAAGTTTCTAAAGATATATTTTTTCATGCTTTAGGAGCTTCTTGGACAGCTGAGAAGTCTATTGCACAACTGAATTCTAAATATGGGAAAAAAGTCCTTATTAATTTTTTTGTTGGCACTGATGATAAGAACTCTACGAACCATATAATTCATGTAAGTTTGTGTGGCAGACAACTGAAGTTATTGTATAAAATTGTATAAAACTTACATGCACATTATTGTTATTGATATTTGGAAATGTCTGCAGCCATACCAAACTGATGTGCCCGATCTCGTCTGATTTTGGATATTTAGAAATAATGCTATTTTCATTTGACTTGACTAAGCAAGGTGGGAATAAATTCATGCTCTGCCCCTGATACCTGGAGTCCCACTTTTGAAGTATTTTCCTAGTGCTTTGTTTCAGACAGTCACATCTTACTTCTACTACCTCTGGTTTTTGTTCGTTTGTTTGTTGATTTGGAGTCTGACTCTGTTGCCCAGGCGGGAGTGCAGTGGCACACACATGGCCACCACAGCCTTGACCTGCTGGGCTCAGGCGATCCTTCCACCTCAGCCTTCCAAGTAGCTGGAAATACAGGTGTGAGCCACTATACCCAGCTAATTTTTTGGTTTAATGTAGAGACGAGGTCTCACCAAGTTGCCCAAACTGGTCTCGAACCCCTGGACTCAGGCAATCCTCTCGCCTACGCCTCCCAAAGTGCTGGGATTATAGGCATGAGCCATGGCACCTAGCTCGCTACCTCTGTTTTAGATATTTCTCAAAATTAATGGTAAGAGGCAATCCAGGGCCCTCTTATGCAGAAAAAGCACCAAATTTCTTTGTATATTTCATGAAAAGAACATGATTTGTTTATCTAAATAATGCTGGTCTTGAAACCCAAAAATTCCTAATTACTTTCACAAAGAACATAGAAAAGGAATTTTGAACACAATTTTGGTTCTTGCTGAGTAATATACTTTTTTCTCGATTTAGGTAAATAAAATTTTTTTAAATGACTTTATTTGATTTTTTAAAAATATAAACCATTTATTTAGGTGCCTCTTAAGAGTTGATTAATGAATATGTTTTGAATGTATAAAATATATCTCTATAAAAATTTTATAGAGATTTTATTTGGTCTCCTGTAAAAGAAATTATACCAAAGGTTGCAAGTCACAGAATCACATCTGTGTCACTACTGCATACATCCTTATGGTCATTTTCATTAAAATCATGAAAGGAATTGAACCCGGTTCTCTACAGTGGACTCCTTTTCTCCCTTCCAAAATTCTCTTCATGGGCCAAATGCCAGCATCCTGCATGATCATCTTGAGGGTCAGGAGACTGAAGAAGGAGCAGGGCCCTTCATTTGGGGATACCTTCTGGCTCTTTCCATACTCGTCCTTCGGCACTCAATGGCTGTGAGGTTTCTCACTTCAACCTATAAGTGCCTGGTTTGCTAGGATACAATCTCACGCCACTGCGAGGATTCCAGGTAGCTCTCACTTGGGCTTTGAAGGCGGATCGGACGCACCAGAAAATGTGTGTTCTTCTTTGACACATGCAGCTCCTGTCAGGTCTGCTGAAGTTTTTCTGGGCAGAGCAGCTTTGGAGAGAAGCGAGAAGTCACCACCTCCATCCCTTAGGGGACTAAGGGTAGAGATGAGACTGTCCCCCAGGGCATCATATTAGAATCTCAGGAAGCCAGAAGCCTTAAAAATGTGTAATTTAGGAGCTCCCAAGTCCTAGAGTCTAACGTATTTTCTTTTCACCTGTACCTTCCACTGTGCATTAAAAATTCTTCCCAGTGTATTTTTTGTTCATTTTCTTTGGTTTTCCTCAAATATCTGCAGCACAGCCCTCCAGATTGCCTAACTGCGGATCAGTTCAACACTTCCAAGTATTGTGGAAGCCATTTCCTAATTATGCATTTACTCGGTTTCTTATTGTTACTCTTATAACCAGAAGGCTAGGGTCTTGTGCATACATAGGCAGGCATGCTTGTATTTTTTCTGTTGTATACCAGCTGGATGATTTATTTTCATTTTTGTATTTTTTTTTGTAGATTGACCAACCTCGACTTGGCCTCCCTTCCAGAGACTACTATGAATGCACTGGAATATATAAAGAGGTAAAAAAAGAAAAGAAAAGAAATAACCAAAATCAAACTACAGAACCATCTGGTGTAAACCTATAAATAATGGAAAGGACTAAAGCCAAATTTAAACTTAGCCCTCTTCTGTACTTTATTCGGGACAGACACTTAAAATTGCTTATAATAGTGAGCTACCTTTGATAGAATGAACATTCTCAATAAAATGAATGACAGTATTCTAAAAAATAAGGAAATTTGAAATTTTTAATTTGTATCATGAGTCTTAGTATTTAAATCATAGGATCTATTTTGAAAAACCTATCTTAAATACTTTAATCTAGTACCTGTAAACTGGGTCATTTAAAAAATGAACAGATTTATCATAGCTTGGAATGGTGCCCATGAGGACCAGGGAGTAGGCCAGTGAAAGACATATTCTGCAACAGCCTTCCAGAATTCTGATTTGACTTTCAGAGGATTATGCAGGTAGGGGCATTGGACTCAGAAAAACCTTCACAGCTACCTTCTGACTCTACCATTTGTCAGCTAGCCAGTGGGCATTGTTCTGGAGTTTTATATGTTCTGGAGTGCTTTCATTTTGTCTCATGACTTTACCTCCCTTGAGCTGATGTTCACATTCTCTTCCTACTGATGTTAAGGAACAACAGGAGACAAAGCTAGCAGTGTTACATATTATTAGATGCTGGGGGGCCAGATGCTAATGCCTATAATCCCAGCACTCTGGGAACTGGTAGCTAATGCCTATAATCCCAGCACTCTGGGAGGCTGAGGCAGGAGGATCCCTTGAATCCAGGAGTTCAAGACCAGCCTGGACAACATAGCGAGGAAGGTGTTGGTTTTGCACAGGTTTTCCTCATTATTATTTTGTAGCTCAGAAGTCAGTTAAGTTTATCTTTTTTTTTTTTTGAGTTGGAGTCTCACTCTGTCACCCAGACTGTTGACTTGCTCCTGGCCACCACAGCCTTGAACTGCTGGACTCAGGCGATCCTCCCACCTCAGCCTTCCAAGTAGCTGGAACTACAGGCACGTGCTACCGTGCCTGGCTAATTTTTTATTTATTGTAGAAATGAGGTCTCGCCAAGTTGCCTGGGTGGATCTCGAACCCGTGGGCTCAGGCAATCCACTCACCTCAGCCTCCCAAAGTGCTGGGATTACAGGCTGAACCACCGAGCCCGGCAAAGTTTATCATTGATAAGTCTCTTGAGTCACAGTATAGTGGTATGACTGAAATTGCTTCTTAGCTGAAATTATTAGCTAAATATGTTTATGATTAGCATTTATTTTGCCTAATAAGTTTAAATAATATGGAATAAATTCACCATAAAATTTCTCTTTGAGTGACTACACAAGACTAAAATGAAGAAAAAGATATTAGGAGAGGCCACAGTTAATAGCAAGATAACCAAATGGGTGTGGGATATTTGAGTTCAGTACAATCTAGTTGCTGTGTAGAGTACAGCTATTGGCTTTAAGAGCTGTCCAGATGCTTCCTGTTATAGACTTGAAAGTGATTGAGGAATTTTGGCTCATTAGTCTACATTTTCACCATCATCAACTGGGATGCTTTTCATATTTAGGATTGTGTTCTTATATCAGATTTTTCCAATCCTAAAATACATATTTTTTCCATATTTTAACATTTCTGGCAATTGAGGTGTACCTGGCAGTCAGTATACTTTTAAGGTGGTAAAGATTATTTCTTGTTTGTTTTTTTAAAAAGTTTTTGTTAAGATGATGGTGTATTTGTGGATTTTATATTCAGTGCTATCTCACAATCTAGGACAGGCAATCTTTGACTTGAATCTGATATGGAAGCATTTCTGTTTCATCTGGAGGCTTTTTTTACAACTTTAAAATAAAAATTTGAATTAGTTGCCAAGAGTTTACAAAATTGGAAGATTTTACTTGAGAATCCAATTAGAATTTGAAAACCAGGCTCACGTTCCCATGCGGTAGCAGTTTTTCAGAGTTGTGTTGTGATTGCCCCTTTAGATAGGGCATTTGTTCTTCAGGTTTGAACAGTCTTCATCTAGATCATTCATTAATGTATATTGACTTCCAGGCTCCTGTAGGCACTTGAGTTGATATATTATTCGAGTGTTGGCTAAGCTGTAGCGATAAAGATACCGCAAAATACAGTAGCTCAAACAAGAGAGGCATTTCTTTCTAGCTCTCATTCCATTCCAGAAGTAGACAAGCAGTCCAGGTGAGATAGGAAGCTCTTACTTCATGGAAATATCTGGGGGTCCAGCATTCTCTAATTTTGCTGCTCTAATGTAACTTCCTGGTGTTGACGTGAGTCTGTTTGGTCAAAGTTGGTTCACCAGTGGCCGGTTCACATGCCAGGCCACAGGAAAAAGAAAAGAAGGAAAGTCTCGGATGATTTCCTTTTATGTGGGTGATGCAGACGTTGCCTAAATTCCATTGGTTAGAACTTTGCCACAGCTAAATATAAAGAAGGCTGGAAAAAGTCGCCTTGAGCAGAATGGCCATGTATGTGTTCAAACTCAGTTGGCGAAGAGGAAGACTCTGGCATTAAAAAGAAAAGGAGTTTGTATACCAAAGACGTTGAGTACTCTCTGCCACAATTTACATCCACTGGCCTAGGAAACACTATATTTGTAGTCAAATAATACAGTGGCGATCCATTCCAGAATCAGTCATACATTATAGGTATAGAGTGTACAGGTGAGAACTCTGAGGCTCAGAAATTTGCCCTGGGACACTCAGCAAAACAGTAATGGAGCCGCATTCGAACTTTTGTTCTGCCTCTCGCTTCTTCCATGACATCAGAAGAGTACTTTATATGACTAGAGTTCTTAAAGTGAGCAAATAAAAGAGCAAATTACAGCCTGGAAGTTATTCTCAGCTCAAATGAGATGCCCTCCAGCGCTCTGGATCACACCAGCAAACACACCAGCATCCGCTTCCATAACTCTGGCCATTTGGTCAGGGCTCTTCTTCCCGCTGAGCTCAGACCTCAGAATCCTTCTCAAATCAGTGCTCTAAGCTCCAAGCAACCTCTACCCAGTGGAAGGGAGTTGCATATGAAATAAAATTTACCTGTCATCACAGAAATGGGTGTTTCTGCACCCTCCTCCCTCTTTTTAAATCCATTCTTTTGGGGGTGGGGGAGAAGACAATGTGTGTAGTTACATTAAAAATTTCCAGCCCATCACTTGGTTAAATTCAGGTCAGGCCACATGGTTCTTTGACTTATGACCTCCATGTTTCCTAACTTTGGTCCCCTCCCCTACCTTGAGGAGGTGAATCTCTTCTCTTTCTCTCTCTCATTTACTTTCTAAATAAACTATATTTTCCAATCTAAAAAAAAAAATTCCAATTATCTGCTTATTCCTTATTTCCCCCATGACATTTGCCACTGTTTCCCAATCACTACCATTCACATTCCCTCACTTAGTTTCTTCTGCATCCCCAGCTGGCTAGCAAATAAAAATTAATTCCGGTTTTTCCACTACCCTGCTATCTCTGAAAGAAGTTAGCTCCCTTTAATGTTTGTTTTTTTTTTTTTGAGTTGGAGTCTCACTCTGTCACCCAGACTGGAGTGCAGTGGCCGCTCCCGGCCACCGCAGCCTCAACCTCTGGGCTCCAGCGATCCTTCCGCCTCAGCCTTCCAAGTAGCCGGAATTACAGGCACGCGCTACCACGCCCGGCTGATTTTTTGATTTATTGTAGAGATGAGGTCTCGCTGCTCAGGTGTGTCTCGAACCCGCGGGCTCAGGTAATCCACTCACCTCAGCCTCCCAAAGGCATGGGATTACAGGCTGAGCCACCGAGCCCGGCTAATGTTTTTTTCATAGTGTTTTATTGCTTCATGAAAAAGAAATGGTGAGAAGGGTAGGATACCACAATAATACCCAGAAGAGAAGTTATAAACCTGGAAGAAATCCTAGTGTTGTTCTATCAGTTCTATCATTGGCCATCATTGATTTTCTCACTTATAGACACTTGTTTATTTACCTATTTATTACCTACTTACCTATTTATTTATTTGTTTGTTTGTTTATTTGTTTATTTATTTATTCAAGTCAGAGTCTCACTCTGTTGCTCAGGCAGTGGCACAATCATGGCTCACTGCAGCCTTGACCTCTGGGCTCAGGTAATCCTTATGTAGCTGTCTCCCATGTAGCTGTAACTACGGGTGTGTGCCATGACATCTGGTCTTTTTTATTTTTTATTTTTGTAGAGATGAGGTCTTGCTATGTCGTCCAGACTGGCCTTAAACTCCTGGGCTCAAGCAATCCTCCCTCATTGGCCTTCCAAAGTGCTGGGATTGCAGGCTTGAGCCACTGCACTTGGCCCTTGTGTGACTATAAAATTCACAAAACTACTATTATATGGATTCTATCCAACTCTGTAAAGCCAATTATCATCTTTGAAACTGTTTTTGTAAGTGCCAGGATTTACTTTTTTTTTTTTAAAGAAAAGTTTACATAGACGTTTTGGTGGGTTCACCAAAGTATCAAAGTATCGTTGATTTGCTATCTCAAAGCTTCAAAAAAGTTGCCTTATGACTGATAAAAATGATAGTTGACTCTGTCCTCATAGCTAATTGATCTTTCAGTCAAACACACACAAAATAAAATCTCAATTTAAAAAATATCCTGGCCAGTCTACTATTTAATTGATAAAATGTGTGTTGATTGCTTGCGCCTCAAATCGTGCCAATTATAATCATTTCACATGTTACATATCTAGAAGTACATAAGAAAGGAATGAAAACCTTAAAGTAGAATCACATCTTGTAAAAGCGATTTAACAGCAGCAGTAAACTTAGTTTCTGAGAACCACTGGATACATTTGTAAGCCGGGAAAGATAATCAAGATGCTTAGACACATGTTTTAATAAGTCACATTGGAGCAGTTACCAGGTAATGGAACTGGTTACAGGAAGTAGTGTATTCTGTGTAGCTATATTAAATATGCAAGCATCCCAGAAACTAGTGAAATAAATGCTTTCAGTTCACTGTGAAACGTTCCCAGTTCAGCAGGCTGGAAGCATTGTTCCCAGTTCTTGTGCTTGCCTAATGCCAGAGTTCCATTGTCTTTATTTTTTTTATTTTTATTTTTATTTTTTGAGTTGGAGTCTCACTCTGTTGCCCAGACTGGAGTGCAGTGGCCGCTCCTGGCCACCACAGCCTTGACCTGCTGGGCTCCGGCGATCCTTCCACCTCAGCCTTCCAAGTAGCTGGAACCACAGGCGCGTGCTACCACACCCAGCTAGTTTTTGATTTATTGTTGAGACGAGGTCTCGCCAAGTTGCCCAGGTGGGTCTCGAACCCGCGGGCTCAGGCAATCCATTCACCTCAGCCTCCCAAAGCGCGGAATTACAGGCTGAGCCACCGAGCCCCGATTCCATTGTCTTTAAATACATCAGCAAGATCAGGAGACTGGTGTAGAGCCAGTTTACAGAGTCAACAGAGTGCCCAAGAGGATCCCTGTTATTGTTTGCTAACCTTATTAATAACAAAAAACTTCCCATATATAAAGAAAAATCCCAGTTAGATTGATAGGGAAAAATTCAAATTACCATCTTCTTTATAGTCAGTAGTAATTCCCTGCTGAAGGCCGATGGATTTATATGCTTTGAAATACAATTAATTCAGAGCACTGCATGCTTATACTTCGGAATAGCTGGTCCCATGAGATATGAACTCAGACATATTTGTTTACTTCAAAGTGAAACAAAAATTCTGATTACCTTTTAATAGAAAAATAATGGAGTTGGTGAGCATATACATAAAATTATCTTGCATTCCTGGTTCCTTAGTGATTAGGTTTTTAACGGAGATTCACAGACAAAAAATGATTTGTTCCATTGAGTGGCAGATCCGTGAATAGAGATGCTACCTAGGTTGTCTCAGCTTGCAGAGTATCCATGAAAAGAGAGAATGCTCTCTCTCAGGCACTGTTTACTTAGATTTAAGAAAGGTCACAGAATGCCAATATGTAAACCTCTGGACTTTCAAATTGGTAATAACTTTGTACATTTACTTATGTTCTTGCTTGATAAAATATTTTCACTTCCCTATTAGTTTGCATTTGATTAATGAGTCACTATAAATTCAGATGTGCCTTTGTACTCACAATGAATATAAGGGTGTCCCTTTCACTCATAGTCAATTAGTGAGGATATAAAACACTCTTGAAACTGTGAAAATGTTAAGTAAGCACTTTATATCACACTTTAGAACTTTCACTTGTATTTACCCTGTGAACAATCTTAGAAGCATACAAGTCCTCACTTATCTCTGATCATCGTTGCCTGCTTTATCAATGGTAAATGTGAAGAATGTGAATTTTGAGTAGATTTTAAATGAGGTGGGATTGTAATTTATTTTAATTTCTGATAGATGATAATGGCTAATAAATATCAATGGGTTGAGACTTAACAGAAGTGAGATTCAATTTCTGGTATTCATGCCACCCTGAACTTGAATAAGGCATTTTATATAGTCTGCAAAAGGTTGGCAATACAACTAGCTAATAACTGGCTTTTTGCAAGTTCAAAGGTATGTAAAGATAAAATATAAAGAATGTGAGTACTTAGAAGCAAGCTGATATCTAAATCTGTGGTATCCTGTAGTGAAATTTCACAGTAATGGAAGCTGGTTATGGAATGTTAACTAAGACCCATGGGTGTGTGCTGGAGAAACTACTGAGCATGCAGTGCAGAATCACAAAAAACACTGTTTGACCTGAGAGGCAGAGATAAAGGTGTGCTGATGGCCGGGCTCGGTGGCTCAGCCTGTAATCCCGACATTTTGTGAGGCCAACACAAGTGGATTGCCTAAGCCCACGGGTTCGAGACCAGCCCAGGCAACTTGGTGAGACCTTATCCCTACAATAAATCAAAAATTAACCAGGCGTAGTAGCCCACGCATGTAGTTCCGGCTACTTGGAAGACTGAGATGGAAGGTTCGCCTGAACCCAAGCAGGTCGACATTGGGGTGGCCATGAGTGTGCCATGGCACTCCTGCCTGGGAAATAGAGTGAGATTCCAACTAAAAATATAAAAACTAAAAATAAAAGTGTGCTGATTATATCTTATGAATTTGTGATCATTTCTTCATGAATAGTTGAAAAAATAATTACGAGATATATGTATACATATATAGGTACAGGAAATCTGAGAAAAAGATTTAGTAAATAAATTTATTATGTAGGAAAAAATAGTACATGAGTTTTGCAACTGAATTATTATTTTTTTCTTTTCCTTTTTCTTTTTTTGAATCAGACTCTCACTCCACTGTCCAAGCTGGAGTGCAGTGGCATGATCACGTACTGTAGCCTCAGTCTGCTGGGCTCAGGCAATCCTTCAGCCTTAACCTTCAAAGTAATTGGGGCTACGGGTGCACACCACCACACCTGGCTAATTTTTTGATTTATTGTAGAGACAAGGTCTCGCTGTGTTTCCCAGGCTGGTCTTGAACTCCTAGGCTCAGGCAATCCTCTTGCCTTGGCCTCCCAAAGTGCTGGGATTATAGGCATGAGCCACCATACCCGGCCACAACTAAATTCTTTTTCTTTTTTTTTTTTTGAGTCTCACTCTGTTGCCCAGGCTGGAGTGCAGTGACACGCTCACAGCCACAGCAGCCTTGACCTGCTGGGCTCAGGTCCTTCCGCCTCAGCCTTCCAAGTAACTGGAACAACAGGCACGCACCACCAAGCTCAGCTTTTTTTGATTTATTGTAGAGATGAGGTCTTGCCAGATTGCCCAGGCTGGTCTCGAATCCACGGGCTCAGGCAGTTCTCTCATCTTGACCTCCCAGAGTGCTGGGATTATAGGTGTGAGCCACCACGCCCAGCCAACTAAATTCTTATGAAGGCAAAATAACTTGATGGGAAATTGAAAATTAGAAAATCTCCATAACCAGTGGTTATAAGTTACTTAGTACTTTCACTTACTTTATTGCTCTACTTTAATTCAAAGACTCATGGACCATCTAAGAATCTGTGAAAGTCATTTCTTTCAGTATTTAGGAGAGAATTTTTATTTTACTATACTCTGTCTATCACCAAATTAATACTTAATTGAAAACAAATTTTAAATTAAACTACCATGATACATATTTAAAAGGTTCTCCAACAATTTACTGCTATTTATTTCTTGCAGGCTTGTTCAGCATATGTGGATTTTATGATTTCTGTGGCCAAACTGATTCGTGAAGACGAAAAATTACCCATTGATGAAAACCAGATTTCTTTGGAAATGAATAAAGTTATGGAATTGGAAAAAGAAATCGCCAATGTAAAACATATTTTTTCTGATACACTGAATAATGTTAACTACTTTTTTCCCCCTTTTCCTTTCTATCTTATTTAGAGAGTAATAGGTGCAACTCTTTAACCAAGTGATCAAAATGCATAAGTTGGTAATAGATCATTGACTTCAAGACAACTTTGAAACGATAGAATTTTATAGTAAACTGGGTCCCCGACATTTAAAAGACACACTAAATTTGACAAACATTAAACTGGAAACAATTGCCTACCATAAGTAGATTACATCAAAATTCTACCATTTAAAGGAAAACTGCTCTTAGATGCCCTTGAGACTCAGAACACATGCAAAGCTGTTTTAGTTTTGAGGTATACAAGTTAGAGTTTAAGATAATCACAGAGATTAACTTTATTCCTTTGCTAAGAAGTATTAGCCCCTAAATGTGGTCCCATGGCAATGTTATACCACTGAGACTAAGGGGGATAAGACAAGAATTCAGCAACAAAGTCCAAAGGAGGCATGCCTGAATTTCCTCTGACTCTAGACAAACCCTTGGAGTTTCAGCTGGCACTTTCTTCTCTGATGGTCCTTTGGGTCCCGCCTACTTTAGCAAGTGCATGCTGAGTCTAAGCAGCATCCACATTATTGACTGAACCCATGGTCAGATTGGGTCTAGGACCCACGGAGCTCTGTTGTCATTGCAAACAACAACTGCATCCCTAGCTCTCTGTCCACTCGCTTGCCCCTGCCACTGGCTTCATAAGAAACTTAAAGAGTGAAGCTCTTGGAGGATGAAAACACAAATCTCCAATCAGAGTCAGGCTAGGCTTGAAGCTGCCGCTGGATGAATGGCAGTTTGATGGGTCCCAAGTAGTTCTGTGCTGGAAATAGAACTGATGGAAGAGAACAGTTTCCTTCCTTGGGTTTTTCCCAGTCCGTGTTCTCTTTCGACCAGCCTCAGCTCTATAATTGTTCTAGAATTATGTGTCTGTATTTTCATTTTTATTTTAGACTCTGAGATTGACCTGGAGTCTTAGTCATCTTTGGATGACTTGTGTATCGCTAACAATATTCATCATAGTATTGTGTGTAGGACATGTCCAATAAATAACTGTTTTCAGTGAATGAATAAATAAGTAGCCTGAAGGGGAAATTGGAGCCATTGTCACTAAGAAATAATTCCCATTTTGAACGTACACCTTTCGTCTCTTCTCAGTTAAAGTTGCATTAACTCAGTTCAACCATTAGTTGAGGAGTTGCTGTCTCAGTTTTCTTTTTTCCTTTTTATTACGTCCAGTGAAAAAAATAAAATTGGATGTTGCATGCAAAGTGCTAAACTAGTCAGGCTGGGTGAGGAGGATAGTCACAAAAGTAGATGGTGTCATCCTTCTCCTCAGATAACTTGCCACCTCGTTGTGCTGTGTACCAGGAATTTTCTGTGTAATTTGTATAGAAGCGAATGCATTTTTTTTCCTGTCTGAATCTTAACTAGGACACTGAATAGTAGTGATGGAGGTGGGAGATAGAGCATTTGAGAGATAAGTTGGAGATGACTATATCCAAGGAAGTTATAGTATGAAATAGCTACAGACACAAGTAAGCAGGCCAATAGCTGTAGCCACAGATATTACTTATGTGGCTTAGCACTTGTCAAAGCATCAAAAGATTTTTGAAGAATTTGCCACTTGACACTGCAGCCAAATTTCAATAACTGTTAGTGAACGTACTTTTGAAATTTCTTATATTTCACTTTTCTTTTTGATATGACAAAGTACAGGATAGAGCTTAAATCCAGTGATGTTGTACCTAGCCTATATTTCTTTTTCTCTTGTATAAAGTTATGCTTTGCTAAAGAATTCTTAGTTCTATAATAATGATCCATAATTAACTCCACAGGCTACAAGCAAACCTGAAGATCGAAATGATCCGATGCTTCTTTATAACAAGATGACTCTGGCCCAGTTTCAAAATAACTTTTCACTAGAGATCGGTGGAGAGGTATGCAGGATGTTTTATGTACCCTCCTATTGTGCCATTTTCTAAAATTATAACACTGAAATACTATTTTAAAAATTCATTGTTTTCTTAAAAAAGTTTATTAAGATAAATTGAACTTCAAAGTAAATTTAGATGATACCAGCTATTTGACTTCATGACAAGACCTAAAAAATTTTTTTAACTATTTGAAATTATAATTTATAAAGTCAGAGTGAATTTTAAATGTAAAACTCCTTTTAAGACAGCTAATATAATAAAATTAGAAACTATCATAGGGCTTGGAAAATATTAAAACTGAAAATCTCTCTGAAAGGCGATTATATAGTAATCAGACTTGGACAGTTGAACAATGAAAGCACTAGATTTCTTTTTAACTCCTAAAAAAGTTAGCTTATTCATAGAACTTTCCATGTTCTCATCAAGGCCATCCATGGAGGTGTTCAGAACACTAATACAGAAATAGAAAACAGAAATAAGAAAATATGTCTCATAGATTCCATTTGTAAACAGCAATTGGCTTCTTATTGCTTAGCTGTTATCCAGTAATCTCTTTCTGGGACTGTGCACTTATTCTTTTGTATTAGCTGATGCACACAGTTGGAAATGAAGCAACATTCATGGGAAAGTCTACAAGCTACCATTCAGGGATGGAAATTCTCTTTGGTACTAATGCTAGTAAACAAGGACTTAGGCATAACTTACTGAGTTAGACATTTTTTACATAGAACCTTTAAAAAATAACAAATATTTGAGAAATATGTTTTGAAAGAATAGTCCAAACCTTAAAAGGAAATCAAGAATAGGGTATAGCATAACACCTCATGTTCTGTAAGTGACCATTGTGTGTATGTGTGTAAAATAGAGTCTAAGATATTGATAACCTTACACATTCTCAATTCTCATGTAAAGAATAATAGAAAGACAAAATTCCATCTGCTGACAACTCCAAACTTGGTTTCTGAAATATAAAAACTGCATGCCTGTAGACCCAATACTGATAGTTTAAAAGATGCTGTTTTGTTTATATAACATCACTATGCCTCTACTATTGCAATATGTTTCCAATTACAGAAGGATATATTACTGTATTTGAATGTATTATTTATGTCTACTTTTAAAAGATAAACATCTTTTGTACATTTTTTTTTTCCATAGAGACAGGGTCTTGCTCTGTGTCCCCCAGGCAGGAGTACAGTGGCATAATCATAGCTCACTGCAGCCACAAGTTCCTGGACTCCAGTGATCCTTCCGCCTAAGCTTCCAGAGAATCTGGGACTATAGGCTCACACCATCATGTTCAGCTAATTTTAAAAAAAATTAGGAGTAGAGACAAGGGCTCTTTTAATCAGGTTGGTCTTGGTAACCCTGGCCTTAAGTGATTCTCCTGCCTTTGCCTTCCAAAGCTCAGGGATTACAGGTGTGAGCCACTGAGCCCACTCACCTTTTATTTTTACATAAACCAAAAAAAGCTTTATTTTTTAAAGCTAAGTTTCTTTCTTTTATTTTTTATATTGTTTAGACCAAAAAGATAACTTTGAGCCTAATTTCTAGTTGTAATGTTTTCTAAGCTTAAAGCCTTTGTTTCTGTAGTGGTTGGTTTAGTTCTGCTATCTAAATAATCATGTTGCAGAACTAATTTTTATTCAAAAACCGATTTAAACAATTAAGGAAAAATCCTAAACAAATATTAAACTGACCATAGGATAGTTATTTAGTGATGTAACTGACACCCTTTTAACGTCTAACCCTCTAGTTATAATTGAATTTTGGAACCAAGAAGAGAAATTCATAATTACTGAATGTTTTATGCCTGCTTTTTTCCAGCCATTCAGCTGGTCTAATTTCACAAATGAAATCATGTCAACTGTGAATATTAATATTCCAAATGAGGAAGATGTGGTTGTTTATGCTCCAGAGTATTTAACCAAACTTAAGCCTATTCTTACCAAATATTCTGCCAGGTAGGTATGTCACAGTGCCCATGTGCTCAAAGTTTACATTTCATATCACTCTTTAGAAGCTTTGCAGCCTCATCTTTTCTGTTGCTGGGTGGTGGGTTTTTTTATACAGAGATCTTCAAAATTTAATGTCCTGGCGATTCATAATGGATCTTGTAAGCAGCCTCAGCCGAAACTACAAGGAGTCCAGAAATGCTTTCCGCAAGGTGAAGAAAAAATCTCTCTTTTCTTAAGACTTAAAGCATAAAGTGATACATGGATGCAAAGACTTTCCATGTACACGGATAAAATGTGGTACACTTTGCCAAGGGAGTAAATGGCAAATGTTAGTTATTTTACACATATTTAGAATATGTTTCCTAGGAAAGAGATCAGCCTTCATGGGCTTTACCATCTTAGGATGGTCTGTGTGGCACCATGATTGCATTGCCCTGAAAGAAGTTGCATTTGGTTATTTGAGCAGTTTATGAGAATACTGCCTTGTTTTTGTTGTTGTTGTGTTAAAAGCAATTGCAGGAGTATCTATCTCAACTAACTTGATTTTTCAGGTGCTTATTGCACATTGGACATGCACACAGATGGGCTACATTGATGTGGACAATTTATTGAGAGTACACCTAACTGGAGACAACTCTAAAGCCTTATCTTAGGCTGTACCTACATTATTTAAACAATCATCATTTTAGTCCTGTTATGAAGGGAGTAGGCAGTAGGGATTGAGAAAGGAGAGATTATAGCAAACGAATTGGTTGGTATTCTAGAAAGAAAATAACTGATTAATTGAAATTTCCAGTCTTTACCCTGGTTGTTTTTCGTTTGTTTGTTTGTTTGTTTGTTTGTTTGTTTTGAGTTGGAGTCTCACTCTGTTGCCCAGGCTGGAGTGCAGTGGCACACTCATGGCCACTGCAGCCTCAACCTGCTGGGCTCAGGCGATTCTTCCACCTCAGCCTTCCAAGTAGCTGCAACCATAGGCATGCACCATCATGCCTAGCTAGTTTTTTTGATTTGTTGTAGAGGCGAGGTCTTGCCATGTTGCCCAGGCTGGTCTTGAACCCCTGGATTCAAGCAATCCTTTCACCTCTGCCTCCCAAAGTGCTGGGATTATAAGCATGAGCCACCATGCCTGGCCCGTCTTTGCCCTTAAAAAGAAAATATAGACACATTTTTAAAATTAAAAGTGCAAATATTGTACTGTGCCAAATTTCTTATCTAGGTTAATTCCCTTATTAATACTTAAATTTATACAGTTTTTCTAAGTACCTGAAGTTCAACTAAAACATTAAAAAGCAGGAATGTGTTTTCTTGTATACCAGATTTCTCCCCTGGTACATTTATTGAACATTACTTCACATTTATGTTTATGCAGTGGTCGTAATGTTGTGTTTTTTTATCCTTAAACTTTCTAGAAGGATATTAACTTATAATAGCCAAAAGTTCTACTGGGACATGCTACTGAAAATATACCTTGTTTTCAGATCACGTATAAGTAAACAAAACCAATCGGGCTACATTTGATCATAGGCTAGGGACATATGCCGTGTGAGGAGAACCAGTGAATATTGCAAGGACTTAGACGAGACATAAAGAATAGAGTCGTGAGAAATGTGTACTCTTATTATGAGCCAGTTCTCTACTCTTGGTCAAATGCCATTTTCTTTTTCTCTTCCACAGGCTCTTTATGGCACAACATCAGAAACAGCGACTTGGAGACGTTGTGCAAACTACGTCAACGGGAATATGGAAGATGCTGTTGGAAGGCTTTATGTGGAGGCGGCTTTTGCTGGAGAGAGTAAACACGTGGTAATGTTATCAGAACAATGCACTACAAGTTACACACTGCACTATCAGTTTTTTGTATTGATGGGCAATGACAATTGTCCATCATTGGACTATAATTTTATTAGTAAGGGAGAGAACCTCTGAATCGTCACATGTCGTTAACCCAATAAATGTTTCCCTGCTTTCCCCAAGAGTCCATTTAGTTTTCTGCTCATGATATTATCTTATCCAAAACCAATGAACTGTATTCCAGAAGCAGTGTGTTCAGAATACACAGTCACATGTTCCATTGATAAAGTCACTTATAAATTATTCTGTTACCAAAATTGTCCAAGATTAGTATTTTCTCGAAAACCTAGAAAGTAAAGCAGGGTTCATTTGAAGTGTAAGAAATGTGCTCCATTTTTTAATTGTTACTAAAATGAAGACAATGGAACTTAACGGTATGGTGAAAGAATCTATTGAAATGCTACTTTATGCTTAATTAAACCACTAATGGTAATGACAGCTAGTGTTTTATGTTAGATCTTCTAAAATGATAGAGGAAACCATTACACCGTGAAGACGACTTTTTAAAATTAATGTAGATAGCTGGGCACAGTGGCTCATGTCTGTAATACCAGCACTTTGGGAGGTAGAGGCAAGAGAATTGCCTGAGTCCAGGGTTTCAAGACCAGCCTGGGCAATATGACGAGACCTCATCTCTACAATAAATCAAAAAATTAGACAGGCGTGGTGGTGCATGCCTGTATTTCCAGTTACTTGGAAGGTTGAAGTGGAAGGATCACCCAAACCCAGCAGGTCAAGACTGTGGTGGCCATGAGTGTGCCACGACACTCCAGCCTGGGTGACAGAGTGAGACTCCTACTCAAACAAAAATAAGTAAATAAACAAACAAATAAATAAAGTAATACCTATTTAATCAGGCGCATCGATAGTAGCAATATTGTTTTAAAAATATAATGATCACATACATCCATTTGTTTAGATCACAGCTTATCTGTAAACTTACGTTTATTAACATATTGTTGAGTCACGGAAAGACATTATGTAACCTATTTTTAAAAATTTGTGTTACAAAGAATGAATTAAATTTGTCTTCTGTTCTTTTGATTTGAGGTTGAGGATTTGATTGCACAGATCCGGGAAGTGTTTATTAAGACTTTAGATGACCTCACTTGGATGGATGCTGAAACTAAAAAGAGAGCTGAAGAAAAGGTAAAGAACAAGCAAGGTTAACTATCAAAGAAAATGTGTTTACAGGATAATATTAACTTTAGGAGAAAATATAGGGAAAAATACAATCAAGAATTGCATTTTAAAAATGATGTCATAGCTGTGTACCACATGGTTTCTGTTTGATATAACCAATTGGATTGTTCTAGATCAGCATTTCCAAAGTGGTGTCATGAAATACCGGGTCTGTAAGTTGTTCCATGAGAATGCCTTGATCAAAGGAGTTTAATAAGCACTTCTTGTAGGAAGGCTTCCCCCATCCACTCTAGGCTTAGTTACCTGCTTCTATGGCACCATACTTCATACTTGGAGGTTAATAGTTATTTCATTGCCTATCATTGCTCTTGGGGACAGAACATTTGCCTGTCCTCAGTCCTTTACAAAGTACATGGCTCTTGGTAGACACTTGAACATATGTTGAATGAGAAAATGAACAAATTAGTTTCTTCTCTTGAACCCGGGCAATAACCTAAGATTCTAACCTTGGAATCTAACTTATTTTCAATTTTAAGAAGTTCAGCAGTAAAGAAATTTGCTTAACTTTTTTGCTATAGTATGTACCCAAAGTATTTAATGATAAATCATTTTTATGTAGTTCCTTTTACTTTCTGTAGAATTTGTGTCCCTTAGAAAACGCTTTAGGGAAATGTCTTACAGGAAATAAAGTTCCATTGAGAGGGGCCTGGTTTGTCATGAGTTGACAGTGTGGAAACTTATAAGAAAATGGACTTGGCCTGAGTGACTTTAGTGACACAGATGTGGCCTGAGCTCCTGGGGAAATCTGGGCTCTTGTAACAGATTTGTAACAAAACCACATCTATCTGATGGCAAACCAAGTAACTCAGGCATACAGGCTGAATTCCCCATGAAAAATTAAATTTTGTTTAAGAGCAATATGATATGACTGAATCAAAAGACACATATCTTTCAGGAAATCAAAGCAGATAAAAAGTATAAAGTTATGACACTAAAATAAGCAAAATAAAACATTTGAAAATAGTAAAAATGAAAATTAGAAACTGTAAGTAAATGATAAATAGGAACTGAAATAAGGAAAACTCTGTTTTCCACTCGTCAAATTAATATCATTTATTTAACTTGAGACATAGGTACGCTGACTTCGGAAAATATAGGAAAACATAAAAACTCCAGGAACCAATATTTAGGAATATATTAGCCCTAAACCTGTAAGCCTGTATTTGTTTTCTCAGCCAGATCAAGTGGAAAGATATTATCATCTGCTAGAATGGAAACTCTAAATATTACCCCTTCCATAACATTGAAGAAAAAGTCTTCCAGAGAAAAAGTTCATAGAAGTATGATACATATGGAACAATGACTTTAGTCAGTTTCAATTTGGTTTTGAGAGAGCTGCAGCCTAAAACAATATGGCATTAGATGCTAAATGTCAGGCCTGTTTTTTATTTGTTTTTGAATCCCAGGAGCCATTACAACGATTTCTGTTTAAGTATTGTCAAATACTCTTTTTTAATGAACAGTTTGGGTCAAGTTATTCAACTGCTAGTCAGTCACGGGCAGGTTAAAAATGCTTGCATCTGAAAGTTGCATAATTATCTTTACATTCGATATTATAATTTCCATAGGCGTTAGCAATTAAAGAGAGAATCGGCTATCCTGATGATATTATTTCAAATGATAACAAACTGAATAATGAGTACCTTGAGGTAAGTCTATAAAGACTCTGGGCTAATGATACCTGGGGCTGGTGGCAATGTCATTTTTTGCTATATAGTGCCAGAAGCAGCTCATTATAGCAAGCCTTTAACATTGATGCCAGAACTGCATTTGTTTGTCTTTTGTTTCATTTGCCTGGACTCTGTTTGGTTTCTGTTCTTTTGCCTGTCATATATTCCATTTTATGGATAGTAAGGGAAATCTGGTGTCCTTAAAGTGTATCAAGGATTAGACATCAAGGTGGTGAACACAAGCTGTTCCTCAGCCTCTTTATCATGTCTTATGCAGACCTGGAGAGTAAAAGCTTCAGGTTTCCTTCAACTTTTGAATTACTCCCCCATGGTAGTTACTTTGGAATTACTTTTGAATTACTCCCCCATGATATCTCCCATGATAGTTCATGCCTCCTCTCTTTAAAACAAAACAAAACAAAACAAAACAAAAAGCACTAATATTTGAGAAATGGAAACTGTTTTACTCCCCCCAGTAATGTAACAATTAAAAAGAGAAGAGAACTGCTTAAAGTCATTACAGTACTCATTTCAGACCCCACTGACTGAGAATCCTTTTGCTAATTTCAGGGTTACCATAACTGCTTGATACCCGGGTAACAATGAAGTGAGCCTTGCCAGGTTCAGGCATGACAGTGATTCCTAATTCATTGATTACTAGCCTTGTATGGGAGTTTGCAAGCCACGTGCCCTCTCCTCCCTTTCCATTTGCAGAAAAATATAACTTTCTCTCTTAAATGAGACGGTTACAGCTTGCAGGCCCTGGGGGATTCTTACACGGCAGGACTGTAGTGGCTGAGAGCATAGACTCAAAACCAAGCTCCTTGGGTTCAAATCATTTAAACTTGGGCAAATGTCTAAACTGTATCTCAGTTTCCTCAGTTTTAAAATGGGGATAGCAACCTTTCGTTCATAGGATTATTGTAAGAATTCAATGAGTATAATACACAGTAAGTCTCCTACCTACACACCTTCAGGTTGCAAACTTTAAAAGGTATCACATTAAGTTAGTTCACATGTCTGGCATACATTGTCATGTGTCTGCATCCTCTACAAGTAGTTGTGCTTTTGTATATTTTACTGTACACTACTGTTTGGTTCTTATGTATTATTTGTGTGAAACGTATTATAAACTGTTTACAGTACAGTACTATATAGCTGATTGTGTTAGTTGGATAGTTAGGTTAACTGTTGGATTTGTGAACAAATTTGACTTAAAAACGTGCTCTCAGAATGGAACTCATTCACAGGTAGGGGACTTAACTGTATATTTAAAGTACTTAAAACAGTACGTGGGATACAGTAGGTACTAAATAAGAATGTGCCACTCTATCATGTCGATAGAGTGAGGTTTGTCTGACACTTGTTTTCATTTGATTGATTATAAAAGAATAGACTGAACTTGTGAATTGACTCGAGCATTACTGACCTGTAATATAGAACCAGGCCGATTTGTGAGTAAGATTTTAAATGTTCTCTATTAACTTTACCAACTGATAGAATTTTAAAAATAGCTCCTATATTTTTTTTAGAAAGCATTTTGAAGATACTAGTTTTAATATCTCTCCCAAAATCTTTTATGTAATATAGTTGAACTACAAAGAAGATGAATATTTTGAGAACATAATTCAAAATTTAAAACTGAGCCAAAGGAAACAACTAAAGAAGCTCCGAGAAAAGGTGGACAAGGATGAGTATGTGTATTTCAGTTTCTCATGTGTTTATTCAGAGGAGGCCCCTCCCTCCCTTCTTTGTTGGATTAAGAGAAAGAGCCTGACTTAGACAAAAGTTAAAAAGCACAATGTCCTCTTTCTATTGAGGACCTCTAAAAGCATCTAATTATATTATACTAAAGATATGGGTCAGCAATTTAACTAAATTTCATTTTTTTTGTCAAGGTGTCCTCAGACTTACCTTATTTTTTAAGTTTCTTCTGCCATTGCTTTTCCGCTCTAATTTATTTGTGAGCAAGAGTCTCAAAAACACCTTAGCTTAAGTAAACCAACCTATAGCTCCTTCAAGCCTTCTCTTAGGCCTCACTGTGTACCCCAAATTTTTTTCTACAGACAGCCTCACTTTTTTTCATTCAAGAACCCCACAGCTCCATCCTTTTCCTAGACGATTTATGTAACACTTTTCTCAACCCTGTGGAATAAGAGGCACCAGGACTATTCCTTTTCATAGCTTTCAAATGCTCTTCATCTCTGCTTGTTAGTGACATCAATACTTCATAATCGCTATTGTTTAGTGTTTATTCTTCAGTTAAGTAGATGTATCTAACATATTTCCCTGCATGTGTGTTTGTGCACTGAAATCCCTACAACTTAAACATAAGTGGACTTCTTTTCCCCTATAGAACAATTTCCTTTTAGCTGGAAAGTTACAGCATCAAGCACATAGAAGGTTCTCTAAAACTAAATTAATGAGTGAATGAGCAAGTAAAAAATAAATATACTGACTTTATTCATGTAACTAGCACAATAATATGCCAAAGAGGTGCTTGGTTTATTCATTTATTCATTCATTTATTTAGCTAGTGTCTTGGAATACTAACCAATACAGGTATGATTGAGCACAGGATAAATCAAAGGTGAACTTGGATTACATTACGACAGGAGAAGGTGAGCAAGACATGATGTAATAAACTGTACCACAAGGAGGGAAATATTGTGCCAAGAATAGTACAAAGTGCAGTGTTTGGTGACAAGACTGTTCTGTCCCCAGTAAACCAAGTACGAGTTGGACAGAATTACTCATGGAAATGCCAGTTCATTTTAATCCTTACTTAACATTTTAAATTCTTGCAACACTGGGGTGCCCTGAAAGAAAGATTAATTCTTTTTTTTCTGACGTTGGATTATATATTGATGCACATATTGTGCTGTATGGTGCCAAAAGCAAGGCTGCAAATATCATAGAATATTTATTGTCCCATCTGGAAAAGGAACGTTGGATACACATGGTTGGTGTTGGAATCAAGTGACCAAATCCTATCTCTAGAAACATACAAAAAGTTATGAAAAGAATACTCTGGGTAAATTTGTCATCTGAGAAATTTCTTATAAGTCTGAATATTTGTATTTCTTTAAAAATACACATTCTTAGATTTAATAATTGATTATACTAGAAAATACCTACAGACAAATATTGTCAAATATTCTTTCTAGAATACCTAAAATAACGTGTAGCCATAGAACACCAAAAGATTTCCTTCGTAATTTTAAAAATAGTTGTTAAATTACTGCTTTTAGCCGGGCTCGGTGGCTCAGCCTATAATCCTGTGCCTTTGGGAGGCTGAAGTGAGTGGATTGCCTAAGCCCGCGGGTTCGAGACCCGCCTGGGCAGCGAGACCTCATCTCTA